TCAGTTTGGTAGATTCTGAGCTATAAGTTGTTTGCATTAGGAGAATTTTGGACTTCGTGAAATTTGACAACTTTTGCCTTGACCTAGGGTCCCCAAATTCGGAACTTTTAAGGGGGAATCAGGTATGAGCCATCTAATGGTGAAAGCTTCGCGGTGATCGGTCCAGTAGGCTCTTAGATCTGAGTTGCCTGCATTCGCATGTAAAATTGTCCATTCGCGTTTTCGAGGTGTTTTGACCTCAGGTCAGGTCTCGATATTGCCTCCACGTGACTCACCTCATTGTACGGAATCGATTGGTGAAAGTTTTAGAGGCGAATCGGTCGAACTTGTTTTGGAAAACCCGCGAGCCCTCGTCATATGCCGGTTTTTTTTAGACCCGTACCACCAGGTTTCCGTCAGTTCCTGACGGCTTGCGTGTGGTCTCCGACATAATGGAGGCTAATGTAAGTTATGGTTGAGTAACCACTTGAGTAACCACTATAACCACAGTAGTTGAGTAACCACTATAACCACAAAATATTTGTCGTACCACTGAGGCAAATGACTTATTCACTTAAAAAATACTGTCTAGGGATGAAGTTTAACAACGCATGCACCAATCTTATGTAATTCCTGAGGTAATTTCTGATAAACGGATCTCCCAGAGGCTTAGGACTTTGCCCTTAGATGTGTTTAGAACGCCTAGGCTTGCTGGCTTGCTGTCCGGCCTAAGCTGAGGTAGGGGAAGGGGGAGGCAGACGCCAGTAGGCTGATCTTTGGGAAAACATAACGCATGATAAGTATCGCACGAGTTGCCGTTAGCATTAACCCAATCCGTCTTCTGACGGCGACCATCAGCTATCACGGTTTTCTTAAGAGCTCACGTTCCATCGAACAGCCTTTCAGGAGTGCCGATTTCTGTAAATTATGGGGGGAGGGGTGGCGAGCCAAAGGCCCGAAAACCTACCCCCAATTTTTTCTCACTGGATTTAGCCCACTTTATTTTGTTTAAACGCAATATATGGCTTTAATCTTTGTGTAATTATAAGAACTTTTAATGTAGTAGTACAGAAGCCACGCAGGGCTGGATTCCATTGTAGCATGCCCTGTACGTACGCGTTTCTCCTAATTAGCACATGAAGGCCCTTAAGATGGTCCACTTGAATACGCCGATGGTGCTCTTCCATAGCAGTCATGGAAGACGACATTATTTGATTGTGTTGACGGAGACGGGGTTAGCCATGAAGAATTTAGGGTCATTTCAATATTCCAGAGCTTTTCACTTTAATCTCACGAACCATTGCGTGTCTGATGGCGCTACGCATGTGAAGTTTATTGTATAGTGGATCCGCTTAGCTGCTACGAATTGTACTCTGGTGGGTGACCAAGAAGCATGCATTTTTTGTCACGAGAGTGGTACGAGACGCCACTACGGCAGAAAGATGCAAAGAACATAGTCTTAATGCTGTGATCATCTTTCTCTTTCCCCACGTTTTTTTGCGTATTCCAACCAAAACATTGGGAGGGCCAAGCCAACATTGGGAGGCCCAACTCAACATTGGGGAGGGGGGGGGGCATGGCCCTCACAAAATAATACAAATCGACAACCGTGACGCCCTTTATGTACAGCGTTGTGTACATAAAAGGCGTTCAATGGAACGTATACCCATGAACATTTATGCACAGCCGACGAGAACTGATATCTTGGAGTAAGGGCCACAATTTGGGAATTACTTTGAATGTCTAGTTCATGCCGGGTTGGTCTCACTGTTGGGCGAACAGCTGACCGTCGGCAGCCTCGCGACCTCGGGGTGGACAGCTTGGCCGAATGGGGGCAACTCTGCTCCACTACAACATCAAGCGATTCAGTTTACAATATTTTATGTTAACACGCACGGCCTCAGGAAAATGGCTGTCCTGCATTCCTTGGCGCAGTTCCTGAAACATGGCCATTTCAAAGACACATGAACACCAACGCGGCCTGCGAGGGTCAAGTTCCGGCACTCTGACGGGGTCAAGGTCAGGGATAGTACCCGCCGGTACACGGCCAGGTGAAACGCCGTTGCTGTGATGGCAGACCTTGCATAGTCGTAGCCTCTATCGAAGCCACGCTCGTTGATGTTATTGGGGCTTTACGCAACGGCTCAGCAGCTGATGAGACTCGACCTCCCACCCCGGCGGGGAAGACGGGCTCAGCGGCCGATGCCCACGCCGCATGCCCTGCCTTCTGAAGCGGCAGGTCCCATGAACAAACGGCGCAAATATCCAAGACAGCTGACGCGCCTATAAGACTAAATAACTACCCAACCCTGACCAACACTAGCCATCCCTTACGAACAAACGCGTCGCTTACCGTCTGATGCTAAGTTGTTTTTCGCCTGACACATTGGTGTCTCGTAAGTTGTGGTCAATTTTTTAGAACCGAGTCGATCGAGGCGAAATAGCTCCAACAACTGCCCTAAAAAAAGCCGTGATGAGGGGTTCGACGTCGGCAGTGGGACAAGTGCGTGACGAGGGCGCGTGAACTCGAAGCGCTTTGGAGGCGACATTAGAGCCGCTGCCTCTTCTGCAACCCGGTGACACCATGTGTTCACGTCACCTGTTGACGCCACATGTCATTGTTGACATGGTCCTTTGATGTCGGGATATACAGCCCCTCTTCACCTCACCAACCTTATATCAGGAGACACTGACAGCATGACAGAAGGTTTTCTAAATGGTTTCAACGGCCTGGAAGTTCAGTTTTGAAGTTTCAAAACATGCAGGGTAGATAAATCATCCAACCGTGTGACTCAGTTCGGAGAATTAAACAGGCTGGCCGCATAAGCAGAGACCGTAGTCCAGGAACTGCGAGCTGAACCCAGGGGCACGTGACCTCCCAATTTGTATTTGTAAAGCGTTTCAGAACACAGAGATTCTCTTTCTCTCAGATCTGCAACACGTCTTGGGTGAGAGTGATTTGTGCCATTATTACGGAAACAGAACGCAGGTGAAACTGAGATTCAAAATGGTAATCAGATAGGGTTCTTATGTGCCATTACTTATGGAAGCAGAACGTATGGAACTGAGATTAAAAATGATGATCAAACGGTGCCACGAGACTCTCGTGCGCACACCGAAGAGATGGCCATTATTTACACTCCACCGTAGTGTCACAATGCTGAACATCCATCCTGACTAGCTGCACCCGGACACTACAGTACCCAATATTTGAAATTATCTGAATCCTCGCACGAACACAAACACACACACATACACAACGAGATTGTTTCCTGGCAACACATGGATGCAAAAGTGAAGTGACAGATCATAGTATTTCGAACTTTACTAGCCGAGCATGCCGGCAGGAAAAGGGCCACAAGTCTCAGACAGATGGCCTAAGCTATATTACCGCCACACAAGCGAGGTACCAAAGATATAAAACAAAGTTCATGCACAGTGAACCGGACAGAGTGTGCACGTGCACAGTGCACACGTCCCCGGGTGACTCAAAAAACCATGTAAAAACGCTCGTCTCTCAAACAGTAGAAAACAGCTCCGTTGGCAGCATACAAACCACGCCGAAATTCCTCAATGATACCAGAGCAGTGACTTGCACACGTACGTTAGACAATGAAGAACACTGTGCAGGCATGGCTCCGTGCATGCACACTTGCACAGATGCCTACGCACGCCCGTGTCGCCACCTTAATTCCGCGTACCAGCGACCACATTGGCTGGTTGCATAAATCCGTAATCGCCTGCACAGACCATGTACATCTCAGATCGAAGATCCTGCTGCACCTCTTCTTCACGTCCGCGAGACGCTTCCTTCCCACGGTCGCGGACAGGCAGTAATTGTCACCACGATTCACACCCATTTGAGATTCATTGGACAGCAAAAGCTTGCTTAAGTCTTGAGGGTCCATTCACAATACACGTATAAAGCTTCTGGCACATAGAACGCCCGCCGCCCAACAGCCGTAACCCGGCAACCCTATAGTACCGCTGTCACCGACAGACTCTCTTCTGAATCCATCGCGGTAAAAATACATCAGTGAGGATATGCCTAAGTGAACCTTCAAAACACATTTAGTTCATAGCTGCACCGCGTGCACGTTATGCATTAAATTTGAACTATGGTGTCCTTTTGCGAACAGGGTTCCCGTCATATTGAACACGTTCCAGGTGTCTAAATGTAGCACGTACTGCTTGCGAACTCAGCGACGGACAGTTTACGGACCAAGTATGTGGATATGTAGGCTTGAATGGACACTCTACGGTAAACCAGCAACCCTGTCTCTGTTCAACTCCAGGAGTCCACCAAATTAACAAAGGCGGAGCCAAAGGGTTACGGTAATTTTTGCTATCTACACCGCGGTTTATAAATACAGATACGTGACCACTGAAGTGTATGCAACGTCCGTTGTGCCAGACAAGAATACGTGAACCTCTATGAAGTAGCACAGTACACATCAGGGAACGTCAAAGATATGTGGCGGATTATCTTTGAATCAAACAGCCCATTTTCTTGTTTGTAGGCATTGATTCTGTTCATAGGAGCATCTGTTGGTAATGGCTGGTACACACCCACAGCAGACAATTTAGCGCAACGCGTGACACAAACAACGCGTGGTGCTGACAGCTGAACCAGCCCAGCTGTTCGCCACAGCAAAAAGCTGAAGCCAAACCATGCACATGTAGACCAGCGCGCCGTTTGCTCGTAGCGTGGCTGCTACACCTTCACTCGTCCTCATCACTCGTCCTCATCACGCCAGCTGGGCCGATGAGTGGGCCCTTAGGCGGGCAGTGTTCGGTGGGTTCACATCCAGGCGACCGCGATAATGACAGCTGAAGAAGCCGCTGTCCACTGCCGCACTCTTCGTCAGCAGCCACTTCCACCACGCCGTAGTCCCGCAGCACGCAGCGCTGTCAGATTTTACGCGAACTCGCGTCAGACAGCCGAAAGATCGCCGGCATTCTGACCACCGTCTCCAGGGCAGCGCATCGCGGCGTCTGGCGTTGTGACCCCGTCTCGGTAGGTTCACCGCCTGGTCTCACGACAGGTCCCGGGCTGGGCCGAGGAGCCGTGGTCTCAGGCCCTCCGTCCTGTAGCCGGACTCCACATGCTACCGTGGTATACGGCGCGAAACGTCGCTGACCCAGTCCCCGCACGCCTTCAGCTGACTGCAGAACGGTCCTCGCCTGGGCCGAGCCGGAAAACCGGCGGACCCGGTCGTGGTGCGTCACAAAGTCGGGCACCGGTCCGGCCGCGTGGACAGCGCTGGCGTCGGGACATGGAGCCGTTTCCGCTGATGGCTCAGTCCTCGCGTGCCCTGTAGCTGGACTTCCACACCTCGGCCAGCACCACGGCCGAGTGGAAACGGTGGAAGATGGCCAGCGGCAACGTCACGCGCAGGATCACCGCCCAGTGCAGCCGGCCGTAAAAGTTCAACTGGAACAGCCGGCGCGCCAGAAGATCAGGACATAGGCCACCGAGTCAAATACAAGGTCCCCAGGTCAGAGAGAGGGACATCAGGTCAGATGCAAGGTCCACAGGTCAGACGAGGGTCATCAAGGGAGAGGAGGCGTTGCTGTCACGCGCCAGCCAATCAAGATATGTTGATCAGAGGACGCGTCACTGGACAGTGACCCGTGGTATCACGGGGCGCTGACCTTAGCCCGTCACCTGCTTTCTTGCACCAGGACGGACTTGCCAAGCACCAGACTATCACGGCTAAGCTTTCAAGAGGTCAGCAGCAGGTCTTGTCAGTAATGGACGGTCATGGTCAACGGCTCATCCGACAGATCACAGCGGCGCCAGCATGGACACCAGGCAGAGGAACGCACATGTGACGCACGATGATAAAATCTGTGTTGGTGGTGATGTGGAAGTACAATATGTTCATTATGATGGCAATCGTTGTCTTCACATTGGTAGCTCTGGACGGTCAGATGGAAACACAAAGCCGTAATCAGAATGTACTCTGACAAGATGACAAGAACTAAATTGTGTCATACGTTACAGAGAGGCCACCCAAGGACTGGATTATAAGCAATGGTAAACATGAAACGTGGCCCCACGTCAGGCCTTCAAAGGGCGACAGGTGTTGGTACGACGCAACAAGTCATCGCTATCTTCATCCAGACAATGGAGTGAGACTCCAGGGTAGTTATCTCTAATGGAGCCGACACCATTCCTGACCCACAGCTGCGTTCGTTATTAACAGGCCAACTGGTGTGCTCAGTGTGTGTTAGTGCCAACTGGTGTGCTATGTGTGTGTTAGTACGCTGCCGGATGACATGACAGAAACGGATTGAATGCTGTCATTCGTAAGAAATAACCCATGTCGTAAGCGTAAAGTAGGTGAATTATTGCTGGAACAGGCTGAGAGCAATTACGAGTATGTGGATAACGGTGCCAATACTTTAATGGCATAGCTCAATCGTGCTCACTGATGGACGGCAGATAATGTCAAACGTGTCACATCGTTGTTTCAAACTCATTAATCCAATCAACGTTAATAATTGGCCCAACACAAAGGAAGGAGGTGAGTGCCAATGTGGCTTACAAAAACGATCTTCGTATGCGCATCTAACAGGCTCGAGGCCACGCGAATTCGAGCATCCGCAGACGTGGAGGCGAAAGTGCGCTAATTCCTCACGAGCAACAAAGGGTGTGTGATACTGACACTGCTACAAAAAGCCAAAGCCTTTACGATCGATGCGGCAGAGAAATAAGAAAAATGAAATAATACAATGTGTCTGCGCGCGCGCGCGCGTGTGTGTGTGTGCGTGTGCGTGTGCGTGTGCGTGTGCGTGTGCGTGTGCGTGCGCGTATGCGTGTACGTGTGCGTGTAAGTATATATTTACAATAACAATAACAATATAGCGAAAAAACGCTGAAAAACTGTCTTTTCTGCTTGGCTTTCACAGTGCCAACAACAGCTATCAATCTCACTTCTCGTAGTAAGTCGCATGCCCCAATACCCATTGTTGCTTTCTCACTAACCTGCACGGGGTTTGCGTCCACTTTTTCGATCTCGAACGTGTAGACGAGCCAGAGGGCGAGGTTGCAGAGCAGCAGGAAGGTGACCACGTGGCGTCCGGGCTTGGTTCGGTCGTGTTCCGGCAGGTACACCGAACGCTTCGCCACATCCGATATGTATATCAGCTGACTCATCACCTGAGAGCGCCACCCCGGCCGTCATCAATGCGAGCGCAGTTCCTATCTTGTCCGTGTTTTAGACACGTCCACACCGTGTTTTTGGCATAAGACTTATCAAACCAGCCCTGCCACTTTTCTGAGACGCAACGTTAACCAAATTAAGCCGAAAGTTCATCAAACCACAATGTCAGTAACAGGCAGCCTGAGTAAGGCAGTCCGCACAACATACCGCAAAGCGACATAAACATGTTTTTTTTCTCAGAAGATCTTACGTACTTCGTATTCCATAACTGGTCTCAACGCCTAGAGAGGTACTAAGTAAAAGGTTGCGGAGTGGATGAAGGCCCATAGCTGTTCAGAAAAGCGCGTGCTTGGCTGAAACCGTCGACAGTAAGTGACATAGACGTCACAAAACGCAAGCATTACTTCACGATTTTGCCGCAAGATGACACTGACCTGCAGAATGACCAGTGCCGAGGTGACCAGAACCAGAATGTTCGGGACGTTTTGCATGGGCGACAGAGCGGCGGCGATCAAGCAGAACATCGAGTACAGGAAAAGGCCGAATGCCGACACCCGCAACAAGATGGCGTCCAGGTCATCAGGCTTGTCATAAGCAAACTTCAGCCTTCTGCTTCTGAAAACCGGATGATACACTGCATGAAGTGGTCAGTTTTATAAGCATAGCGGGGGTAGAAGCTGTAAATTGCTAACTTAAAAACATGGCTAATTTCGAAGCATCTTAAACATCATCTAAATCAACGTAACCATAGATATCACTGGATTCAGTCATCACAGCAGACCAGGCGGTAAACACTGATGAAAAATAGTTGGCAGAGCCTGTGACTCATCTAAGGCCTCGACATAGACCAGAGCAGCAGCAGCAGTTCCAACCTGAGAATTCCGATCAAACTTGCGAGCATCATGAGGAAGAGGATGCCGGCGTGGCTGGTGTCGGCCAGGAAGATGGCCAGGCGGCGGTGCTGATCCTGCTGCACCAGTACGAAGAATAGCACCAGGCAGATAGTGATGATGACCAGCGCCAGCAGGCCGCAGAACAGGCCCTTCGAAACACCGATGCAGTCCACCTGCAGCCAACACGCGAAGTGGTCGGGTGGTGTGAGAACCCGCCCAAGTAGGGTAACCAAACGGAGATGGAAAGGGATTGCAAACAGCATCATATCTAAACACTGCTACCGCTCCGATGCACCGTCATCAAACAAGAGTGCATTTGTAACGTAATGTGATGTAATCCACCAGAAACTTGAGCCAGGATTTATTTTGTGATTTTGCAATGTTACGACACCTCGCTTTGTTCTAACCATCGTCAGATACGCTGAGATGGTGATCGCTTGATGCAGTGATGATAAATTGGCATATGTACCGTAAAGACCAACAACGCATGCATTTGATGGTAGCTATTTGGTAATAAGGTTGTCTTTGCATGTCAACTGTTGTGCTTGGCACAGAAGATGCAAGCAAAAAAGCTCGTGTAAACATTTTAGCGCACTTTAAAAACCGTTAAACCTGGTATAATGGAAAGTTCACCCCAAGTACAGCTCACATACAAATTCGAAACGAAACCTGTGCAGTTACAGCACAACAACGACCATTTTTTCGCGAGGAGGGCAGGAGCAGGTGTGACCGAGTAGCTTGCTCTTCACCTTGGTGTGCGCTTTCCTCGAAGAAACGCTGACGTGGTCACGGTTGACGTCCTCGTCCACGTAGTGTGGACACCGACCGATGTTCTTCCACATGACGAAGATGACGGTGGCGCCGATCAGCGCGAATACTCGATGATCAGGGGGAAAAGGTAGGGTGACGCGTCGCCCACCACCTCGCCCATGATGTTGATTCGGCCGCAGTTGTTTTTCGCCTCGCTCTCCCCGTGTCTTTCTGCAATGAACGAGGGCCGGCCATGGTCAAAGACAGCTGGCGGCGGTCCACGTGTTATCAGCGTAAATGAAAACGAACGCAGC